CCACTAACAACAACAACAACTACTACTACTACCACTACTACTACTACTACTGCTGCTACTACTACTACTACTACTACTGCTACTACTACGACAACAACTACTCCTACTCCTACTCCTACTCCTACTCCTTCTCCTTCTCCTTCTCCTACTCCTACTACTACTACTACTACTACTACTACTACTGCTGCTGCTGCTGCTGCTGCTGCTGCTGCTGCTTCTGCTTCTACCACTACTACTACTACTACTACTACTACTGCTGCTGCTGCTGCTGCTGCTGCTGCTGCTGCTGCTGCTGCTGCTGCTACAACTTCCACTACCACCACCACGACGACGACGACTACTACTATTACTATCACTGCTACTGCTACTCCTGCTGCTACTGCTAATCGCTTGCTGATGCTGCTCGACACCACCACCGCCACCACCACCACGCCGCCGCCGCCGCGATTACCACAGCGGCTACGGCTACTTCTGTGGCTGCGACTACGGCTTCGGCTACGACCACCACGGCGGCGGCGGCGACGACTTCTACCACTCACAATTATGTCTTCGTTTATTTCAATGATTCAATGATATCCTGTGCACCTGTCATGAAGATAACAATACTTGGTGTTAAGTTGATTCCAAACACGGGGAATTCGACCTTTCGCGCTTGACTGGGCTGAGCTATGTGTTTTTGGCCCAAACCAAGAGCGGCGTTAGCTTTGTGGCTCACGCAGGGACTAAAGCCGCGGCCTGAGTTTCAGGCACGTCGCTTCGCAGTGCGGCCTGTGCCTGATGCAGTTCTCGTGTTCCCTGTTGATCCAGCTAATCTGGCGAGTTCTTTTTCTTACCCAGTTCTGGCTGCATGACATAAGTGTAGGTCCTGCGTGGTGGCTCCAAAGTCTGAGCCTTAGCACGAACAAATCGGTGGAGGGACCAGAGTTGCGTGTACCGTGGATGCCTTCAGATTGAGGCATGGCATGTTTCGTCGTGCCTTCTGCTTGGCAGTCTGTGCAGGCGGCCGCAGCACGGTGTAGGGAGTGATCTATGCTTGGAGCATCTGCTTATAGCTGCAGATAAGTTTGCAGAGGACCCGCGGCAAGCAGGTTTATGTTCACGCAGGGAGCCAAGCGCCGCTTGCTTCGTGTGCAGCATTAAGCCGGTCCAGGTGTAGGTGCCGGGAATGCAGAGAGGCTCGCGGAAAGTTGGCTGTGCATCGGATCAGTGTGGCTCAGCGTGCCAGGGGAGCGTGTCGGAGAATTT